ATGTTGTGCACTGACCTATCACATACTACCTCATTAAACCTCCCACCAGACCCACAGGGTAGGATTATCAGCCACAGTTGCAAAATGAGAAAAATCTCAGCTTGGAGAGGTTATGCAACCGGCCCAGGGCGCGCGGCTTCGGCCCTCTAGCAGTGAGCCAGCTCCTGTCACACAGCCCTTCTCCTTCCCCAGCCCTGCTGCCCCAGCTTGGGCTCACCATCAGTTCCCAGCCCAGATGGAGCCAGAGCAGAACTGAAGGGGCCTGGGAAGCTATCGAGTGTCACCAGGTTATCCTAAAACCAGAAAAACCCGCTGCTCCCACTGGGAGAGCTCCAGTGGCCTCCGCACAGACCAGAGGCTGCTTCCCCGCTGTTACTGTGAGGCAAGGGGCAGGGGACACCCCGGGAGCCCCACCACAGCTGCCCAGGGGTGGGGGGAATCCTGGGAGGGTCATGTTACTGCAGAGGTGCAGAGTGTGGGGGTCTTAGGACGCTCTTTTTTTGAGAGAGAGATTTTTTGCTATAAGGTGCATGTGCTTGCGGAAAGACAGAGAGAAGACGAGAAATCACCCCCCAGGGGATGGCTACATCACAATCCCTCCTCTCAGGACCCTGGGCACGCACACACACCTGGTGTGAGTTTCTAACCACCGGGTCCGGGACTCAAATCACCGACGGCCGTGTGGGAATCCAGTGCCTTGACCAGTACACCAACTGCTGGTCCCAGGGTGGTAACTTTGAGGTGGGACCCCTGAGGGATGGGGAGCTCAGCTAGGCTGTGGCCCTCTCTGGTGGCAGCCCCTTCTCAAATGAGAGCCTGTGGTGGCCAGCGGCAGGGAGGCGGAGGGCAGCCTCGTGTGCGAACGCTGGTCCAGGAGAAGCCAGCCTCTGCGTGGCTCCCTACCCAGACAGCGCTCTGCCCATGGCTGTGTCCTTGGGGCAGTCTGCTCCACCCTCAGGCTCCTTACCAACTCTAGAATCCTAACTGCCTGGGGCTGAGGCTTACCCAGCGATCAGGTGCAGCGCCTGGCGGGTTCACGTGCACAGGGACTGAGGTCACCCGGGAATAAAGGAGACGGCAGCTTCACCTGCCCCAGGCTCACAGTCCCTCTTCAGAGGAAGGGGGACTTGGTTGTTGTTGTTGTTGTTGTTTTGGTGTATGCGCACTCACCAGAGAAGGAGAAAGCGAGAAAGTACCCCCTCCACGGGATGACCACTCTGCAGTCCTTTCTCCACTCTCCTCGGGGTTCTCGGCACACACACGCCCGCTTTCAAGTGCCGGGTCTGGGACTTGAACCGCGCAGCTGGCATGTGGGCTCCAGCTGCCTTAACCTCCACGCTACCTGGGTGAGCTACAACAAGAACTGTGGCAGTTCCTTGAATTGTCAGACATCACCCTTGGAGTCACCGGGAAGGCCAAGGCGACAATGAATGCTCTTGGCACCGGGGGGAGCAAAGGGTGAGTGACAGATGCAGGCAGTCGTGTGACTGAGTGCTTGTCCCTGTACTGCAGTGTCCCTGGGCCTGGCTGGGTGTTGTAACGTTGCACCAGGGGACCTGGCCACTGACGGACCCATGACCTCTGCACAGCCTGGCTGAGAAAGATGGCGCTGGCCGGTCACTCCCCTCGAGAACCCGAGCTCGGCTGTGAAGAGCTGGTTGGTGGTAGGTGCCAGCGTGACCAGGAGCCAGGGTCAGAACGGGACAGGCCGGGAGAGGGCCCTCAGTCTCCTGACCCACCGAGGCGAGTCCCCGCCTGGGGCTTTGCCCGTCCGAGTGCCAGACCCACCTCCTGAAGCAAGGCTGGCAGGACAGAGTCGTGGCAGCAGCCAGGACTCCGGGCTTGTGGAGAGCACCTCAGAGGTGGTGAAGACGGGTCTGAGGGAGGCCGAGCGGGTCTCCTAACACTCAGTGAGCCTGAGCACCCACGCTCCACGCCGTGGCCCACACTGCCAGCTGCCCTGCTCTGTCCGGGCAGTCCTGACTGGCCCTCCAGGCCCACCGCATCTTTGCAGTCCTGGACCCAGAGCTGGGAAAACATGCCGGCACATGTGTGTGTGCCCAAACTCCCCAACGGAGGGGAAAATGGAGCCGGGACCGCAGCATGGCCAACCCCCGAGGTGGGGGGGCGCCATCGCACTTTTTTGCTCTCTTTCTGTCTCCGGAGAGCACATGTGCCCGCTAGCAAATTTTAAAAATAATAAATTATGGTATGACGGAGCCCCCTGGGGTGTCGTGAGCACAGCCGAGGCTGTGTCCGGGGCCTGCCCGGGGAGGGGCGGGACGGTCCTGCTGTGCGCAGCCTGCTAGGGGCCAGCTGCAGCGAGCAGGGAGCAAAGTCCCCGTGTCCAGCCTCGGCTCCTACCTGCTCTGGCTGCAGGGGACCCTAGGCCAGCCGGTTAAAGATTGGCCATGTGCGTGAGAAGCTCAGGCCAGCTCTTGACCATCGGGAGCCAGGTGGGGCAGTGACCTTTGGGTGACCACTGGGCCACCTCAGGCCTGTCCCACGACTACCCCTGGGGGCCTGGGCCCTGCTGAATCTTGGCTTGAGGGCTTGGTGCTCGGGGCCTGTGTCTGTGCCACCACCCGTGCTCCCCAAAGACCGTGTCTCCCCCTCAGACAGGGCCACGCTGTCTGCACCTGCAACTCTGGGGCGGGCCGTGGCCTGGGTTTGGGGTCCCAGGGAAGGGCTCTGCCTCCCGCCTCAGGTGCCGCTCCCAGGGCTGTCTCCTCCTGACAGAGCGCCCGGCAGGGCTGTGTCTGCTCAGTCAGTGACAGTCGGGGCAGCACCTTGGGGTCCCAGGGCAAACCCTGTCTCCCCCTCAGACTGAGGTTCCCTGGGGCAGAGTTGTCCCCTCCTCTCAAATGGGGTCTGCAGGGTTTGCTCTGGGTTTGAGGACAGGCACAGACAGAGCTCAGGTGAGGTGTTTCCTCCCACCAGGAGTTTTCTTCTCCTTTAAAATACTTTTTAAAAATTTATTTGCTATAGGGCATATGCGTTCACTGGAGAGAGGCAGGGAGGAGAAGTGAGAAATCACACCTCACGGGGCTGGCCAGCCACAGTCCCTTCTCCTCTTGGGATTTTGGTCATTTGCGTACACACCCCAGCATGTTTCTCGAGGCACAGGGTCTGGGATTTGAACCCCACCTTTGGCCCTGTGAGATCCATTTGCCTTAATCAACATGCATGGCTGTCTCCTCAATAGGACCTTGATGCCACACTCCACTCCCAGCCTCGGCCAGTCCTGGATCACGGGCTCAGATGCCTGCTGCACTCGGGAGGAACCTTAACACGAGCCCAAGACGTCCCCACGTCGGTCAGCGTCACAGCGCACTGCACTACTGGACCCGCCTAACCTTTCGGGGTGCACGGCTTGGTGGTGCCAACACATCCCAGAGTTGCACAACCACAATCATACCTACCATCCATTTCAAGGGCTTTCACCCCAAAGAGACACTCTGCTCAGCAAGCAGGAGCTCTGCCCCCCACTCCTCTAGGCCTGTGTCGCCGCCACTCCCGGCTCCCCGTCCTCCGCGCCCGTGTAAGTGGAATCGTACGTGCCCCTGCCGTCCGGCTCGTTTCACTTAGCGCTATGTGCTCCAGGCTCATGAGCGGAAGTCACAGCATCCACCAAACTGCACGGCTTTCTGCAGCCGAGCAACACTCCGCCGTGTGCTCAGACCGCATTGCATTCAGCCGGTCATCTGTCCGTAGACAGACGGGTTGTCCCCACCTTTTGACTATTGCAGATAAGGTTGCTACGAGCCTTCATGTACGAGGTTTAGTCTGAACACCTGTTTTCAGTTTTAAACCTCTACACCTAGGAGCTGGATCACGTGGTAATTCCACGCTCAACTTCTCAAGGAAATGCCTAGCCATTTTCCACATTAGCACCATTTTTCATCCCCATCAGCAATGCGCAGGAGTTCAGATTTGTTCATGTGGGGGCCAGCCGGGGGCAGGGGTTAAGACGCTGGACACTGTCACTCTCTGTGTCTCCGTTGAGCTCATGAGCCCTATAGTAAAACATCTCTCTCTCTAAAAAAAAAAGTTTGTTTCCATGTGGGTCTGGTAAGAAAGAAAAAGAAGAAGGCGAGTCCAGGGAAGGCCCCCACCCTGCAGCCAACCCCGGCATTCAAAGGGGCTACCCCTGGGGTAGGAGCATGTTTGCCCCAGGCTTCCAGAATCGATCTATCTTAGTAACAGCCAGCTTGGCCTGGAAGGGACCCAGCTTGTTATACAGCATGGACAGAGAAGGGGACAGCAAAGGAAATGCCATCAGCCCTTAAAACGGGGTGGGCCAGCTCATGGTGCTGTGGGCCCACATGGAGGAGGTCCTGGGTTCTTATACCAGGGACTCCCTGAGTACAGACGTGTGTGTCCATGGGTGCCTGTGACATGGAGTGGCTGGGCAAGGGGTGGATTGTGGCATGGGGACTGCTGGGTGTCTGTCCCTCTCTGGTTAGAAATATATTAATGAACTTTGTTTGTTTGTTTGTTATAGGGCATGTGTGCTCGCCAAAGAGACAGACACAGAGAGAGGGGAAGTGAGAAATCACCCCTGGGGATATAGCCACGCCACAGTCCCTTCTCCTCCAGTCTCTTCTCAAGGTTCTGGGCCTGCACGCATACACACTTGGCATGATTTCTGTGCTGCCAGGTCTGGGATTCGACCCACACAGATGGCCCTGTGGGACCCAGCACTTTAACCCCCATACCTGCTGGCTCCCACATTTTCTGTCTTTTGAGGATGGAACACAAAGGATCCCCACTCGCCCTCTGGGGTTGGCCCATGAGGCTGGGTCCCGCCCTCTTCATTCCTTCAAGTGTTTAGGGACTTGGGTCATACGAGAAAAGAGAAGAGAGAGGAGCGAAGAGATACCAGCAGTGACTATGAGTCTGGCCTTAGGTGCTCAAGAAGCAGCGCACTGACCCCTGCCGTGCACAGGGGAGCCCCGAAACCCTGGCTAAGTGAAGGACGCCCATCACAGAAGACCACAAGCTGTGCCATTTGTTTATGTGACTTCTCCGGACCAAGCTACTCTGTAGAGGCAGAGAGCAGTTATCTGTGGCTGGAGGGCAGGGGAGGCCAGTTAGGGAGACCCTCACTAAGCTGGCTAGTGACTGCAAATGGGCACGGGTTTTCTGGGGGCATGGTGAGAATGTTCTAGAATTGATTGCATTGTGGTAAAGGGCCACGCAAGTCTGAGACTACAAGATGTTGGACCGCACATTTTAGAGTGAATTACATGCCGTAAGACTTGCATCTCAAAGCCATTATAAAAAGAAAAGAAATAAGCACGGCAGCCCCTGGGTGACCCCACACTCCGTCCCCTGGCTCGGTACGGTGGCACCTTCTTCACTGGATAGAGAAACGCAGTCGCACCTGAACCTGCTCACAGCGTGGGTGCTTCATGGTCAGCCCGTAGATGGGGGTCAGGTCCACCTGCACGCCGGGCGGCACGCTGAACTCCAGCTGCTGCAGCAGGGTGGCCAGGAAGAGGAAGACCTCCGCCTTGGCCAGCACCTCCCCGATGCACCGGCGCTTGCCCATGCCGAACAGCATCACCTTCTCGCTCGCCGCCTTGCTGATGGCGGTGCCTTGCACAGTGAGGAATCGCTCCGGCCGGAACTCGGATGGGTCCTCCCACAGCGTCCTGCGAGAGGAGCAGAGGGGAAGGGGTTTGCGGCTGCGAGGCCTGAGAAGAAAGGCCTGGGGGGACTTGATGGACTCCTGTGTGGTCAACTGCAGTTCAAGTCCTGGACCCGGGGCTTGAAACACACCAGCTCGTATGCGTGTGTTCCCAAAATCCTGAGAGACTAGAGGAGAAGGGACTATGGCGGTCATCCCTGGGGTGGGGGTGATTTCTTGCTGTCTCTCTGTGGAGCACATGTGCCCTATAGCAAAAATCTCTTAAAAAGAAAAGAAGAGAGAGAACACAAGCGTCCGAGTAGGTTGAGAGCAATGGGAGGCTGTCCGTGGGAAAGGGACTCTACGATGAACTGTTCTGGGCCAGCCCTGCAGCCTAGAGGTTAAGGATGTCATTAGCTGGCCCAGCCGGCTGTAGTTTGAGCCCTGGCCCTGGTGGCTTGAAAAACACTCCAGGCACGCGTGTGTGTATGGCCCAAATCTTGGCAGGATGGAGAAATGCAGAAGGGACTGCAGTGTGAACAGCCTCCGTTTTTAATTTTTCTACAAAGTTGATTCATCCGTCTCTTCTGAGACTGAGAGACAGAGAAAGTACCCCCAATAGAACGCCAATACCGTGAGCCAGCCCCAGCCCCAGCCAGCCCCAGAGCACGGAAGGCGCATGCAGCACACCCAGTTGGTCAGCTCCACAGAGCGGTCACGCCCGCCCGCTGCATGGCCATCCACTCCCCAGGAGTGATGATTATTATTTGGAAAGTTAATTTTATTCCTGATGGAGAGAGGCACCCTTTTGGAGGTTTTGTCACACTTCAACCCCCTCTCCCCAGTCTCCAGCTCGAGATCCGGGGACCCCTGCACACGTCTGGTGAGTTTCCAAGCTTAGGGATCTGAGCGCGCAGGGGAAGCAGGTACTCACGGGTCGTGGTTGACCTGCCACTGGTTTACGAAAACGCACTGCTCCTTGGGGATGTAGAAGCCATTCAGACTTGTGTCTCTTGTTGTGCTGAGGAAGGAGACATGCTCGTCAGGCTCAGGGGTGGAAAACCGGGGCACGTCTTGCTGCTGCTTCCACGCCTTACACCGGGAGCGGAAGTGAGGTGCAGGGAAGAGCCAACTGATCCTTCCCCTTCCTTAGCCCCCGTTCTTCAACCAAGGCAAGGGTTGACAGAATCTCTATGCCCAGCAGGGTGATCGGCTCCATTCTCTGGGGCCAAGAAGCAGGCAGCCCGGGGAATTTTGAGCCTGATTGGGAAATCAAGCCCCTTATTCTAGAGTGGACCAGCATTTGGGCAGAAGTCAATATGCACTGACCCTCTTCATGTTGTTCTATCTCAGGGCATGATCAAGTAGTCATCGTTAAGTCCAGTAAGATCAGAGAATGGGGACCAGCAGGTGGCATAGCAGTTAAGGTGCTAGACTCCCACATGGTCAACCACAGTTTGAGTCCCAAACCCAGTGGTTTGAAACTCACACTGGGCACGTGTGTGTCATGCCCACAATCCCAAGAGGAGAATGGAGAAAGGATTATGGTGTGGCCATTCCCCCCACTCCCTGCCCCGGGGAGTGGTTTCTCAATTTCTCTCTCTCTGTCTTTCCAGCAAGTGCATACACCCTATAGCAAAAATCTCTAAATAAATAAATAAATAAATAAATAAATAAAGCAGAGAATGAAGCTGTGACAGCCAGATGAGTCCCTCTGAGTCCCAGAGGGTTCTGGTGGAGAAGTCTGCATCAGGATTGACCCAGGCAGGAGCTGCAGAGAAGAGAGCAGCAGAGGGGCCAGCATACGGACAACTGGAGGCTGGCAGGCGCATGCCGGTGGGGGCGAGGGTCCTTGTATGGAGGGAACACGAGTGGAGGTGAATGAGATGTCTGAGTGGGATTTTTTTCCTGAGAGCTGAGTGGTTTGGTATGTTTGGGCTGGATGGGGCAAACCAGAGGCCAGGGTATCTGCAAGGACCCTGGTGTCTTAGCCGGGAAGGAGAGGCCAGAGTCTGAGCCAGGGCTGGGTCTGAGAAGTGGGGAGCAGGAAGCTCAGGCAGAACCTCAGAGGCAGCAGGGCAGAGGAGGAGCCTCACCTGTGGGGGATGGTGAAGGGGACGAAGGAGGAGTGCCGGAACGTCTCCAGGATGAAGGCCTCCATGTAGGGCAGCTGGAGTCTGTCGGACAGCTGGGGCCGCCGCGCCCTGCCGACCACCGTGTCTGCAGGACACAGTGGATGGATGGAGCTCAGGGTGCCCCGACTGCTCTCATGTCCCTGCTCTTCAACGTGTTTTTCTTTATTCATGATAGGGCGTGTGTGTGTGTGCGTGTGCGAGAGCGACGAGCACCCCCACAGGGTATGGTCACGCCGTGGCCCCTTCCTCCAGTCCTCCAGCCCCTTGGCTCATGGGTAGTCATGAGTGTGTCCAGTATGTTTCACATCGGCCCGGCCGCGGATTTGAACTGTGGTCACCATGTGGGATCCAGCTTTCCCTGAGCAGTGTGTTACTGCTTGCCACAGAGCCAGGCCGTGTGTCCGCTAGTGTTCCGCATGTCCCTCCACATGGGACTATGTCTATTCACACGTCCGACAGCCCAGGAGCCCCCAGCACCTTCTGTGCAAGGGAGCACACTGCACGTCCAGGGCTGGCACACAGCGGGGCACGGAGGTGGGCACGGGCTGAGCGGACAGCCTGGGCGCCGAGGCCAGGGGCGTTGGGAGGCCACGTACCCAGCTCCTTCTGGACCTTCCTCTGTATCTCGGGTCTCGTCACAAGGTACATAAGGCCCCAGGAGATGGCTGTTGTGACTGTGTCGAACCCTGGGCAGCATCAGGCAAGGGGAGAGAGAGAGGAAGACAGGGACAGGGAAAACAGCATTGACCCAGCAGCAGCACGCAGGGACCGAAGGCAGAGGCTGGGCCCCTCCACGTACACTGACATCTGCCTTCATAATTAGCTGCAGGAATTACAGGGGCCAGACTTACAGGCCAGAGACCCCTTCATTGTTCAGAGGGGGAAACTGAGGCCTGGAGGGAGGGGGACTTGGTGGAGTTTCCACTGGGAACTGATGGCACAGCTTGGGCTCAGACCCTGACCCCAGGTGGGTTTCTGTGCCCTCAGGCACGTGGTTGGAGGTTATTTGATAGACTCGGGTCGGGCAAGGCTGGGGCTGGGCAGCAGACGCCGATGGTTCCTACCGGCTCCGAAGATGTCATTGACGAGGTTGACAATCTTCTCCTGGGGGATGGGGCTGCCGTTGGCGGTGGGGCTCTTCTCGCTGTGCTTGAACAGGGCACCCAAGATGTCCTGGACGCTGTTCTGAAGGGTCACAAGCTTAAAGGGACCTCTGGGACTTCCAGGCCAAACGCTGCACCTTGCCCTACCTCACCTGGCGTCCCTGGGTGCTGGACACTCCCCCACCCCCCACCCCGGCCTGGCAGGAGCTGGCAGCAGCCTTGGTTAGGCTTAGTGTCATTTCATGTCCACTGACCCTCCCTCCATTAACCCCAGGGTCCAGTTTCTAAGGAGGAAGAGGCTGGCCTGAACCAGGGGAGGCCAAGTGACACCCTGGCAGGGAATTAGCCTCTGCAGGTTCGGGTTCCTGCAGGACAAAAGCCTTCTTATCCAGGACAATGACCCCACCAGGCTCCACTGAGAGGAAGGCTGCCAGGGGGAGGAAACTGAGGAGGGGAAGGGAAGGGGCTGCTCCAGGCCCTGCAGGTGCAGCCCGGCCCACCGTGTCAAAGTCCTGGTAGTGCTCCTGGACCGTCTTCTGCAGGAACCGCAGGAACCTGTCATTGAAGTCCTTGAACCTCCGCAGGGCAGGGTTGGGCAGGTAGCGCAGGATGGGGAAGAAATCCACGGGGTTCCCGGAGTTGGCGGTCTCCACAAACTCGTGGCTGTTCTTCAGCAGGTGGAGCAGCTCCTCACTGCTCTGGGGAAAGTGCTGCCCGAAGCACATGGCACCAATGACCCGGGCCACGGACATGACAATGTGGCTGGAGGGGTCGAAGCGCCCGGCCTCCGCCATCAGCTCCTGGAACTTGACGATCAGGGCCTCGGCCTCCTTGCTCACGTGCTCCTCCAGGTAGGAGGACGAGGACGCTGGGTTGGAGGCCAGGGAGAAGGTGTTGAGGGCGTTCTGGGCCAGGCGCCGGCGGGCAGCCCACACGGGCCCCGAGTCAGGGCTGAAGGACATGCTCTGGCCACTGGTGATGAGCGTGGAGCTGTAGAGGTCGGGCCGGCCCTTGAAGTCGTCGCCCTGCCGCACCAGGGCCTGCCGGATGGTGTCCAGGCCACTCAGCACCAGCACGGGCGTAGAGCCCAGGCGGATCTGCAGCACGTCGCCGTAGCTACGGCTCAGCTTCGCCAGCGCCAGGTGCGGACTCTTCCCCAGGGACAGCATGTGCCCAACCAGTGGCCAGCCCCACGGTCCCGGGGGACTCTTCATGCCCTTGGGGACCCGAGGCCTCGAGGCCCTGACCACCCAGAACACCAGGCAGAAGATGGCGGAGGCCAGGAGGAGCTCCGTGGCCGAGAGGGAGACAGACCAGGACGAGGCCATCTGCAGCAGCTGTGGGAGAAGGAAGGAGGGGCCTGGCTGAGGATCGAGCAGAGCCATTCACCCATCACTCAGCAAGTGCCCTGGTCACTCTGTGCCTGGCCCCCGCTGGACACCCAAGCAGTAAGTTCCACCCACTTTTGGCACATCACAGCATTCGAGGACTGGACAGGGGCCTCAAGGTTCCCACCTGAATGTCTAGACTCCCAGCCCGGCTCCCTCTTCTGTCCACACCCTGTTTCCAGTTCCGAGGTAAGTGACCATTCCGAAACAGAAGGCCTGCCAGCCTCTGGTACAGCATGGATGCTGGCACCGCCCTCACACCCAGGAAGCAGGGGACTCCCCCAACCCTGCAATCCCCATGCGCCCGTGCCAACAGCCAGGGTCCCCCACCATGGCACTCTTTCTTCTTGTGAACCTTTCTTTCCTCCATGAGTGGGAGAGAGAGAGACTATCCCCCACCCAGGTCTTCCTGCTATGATGCACCCTCAGCTTCAGCAAGCCGGGACTCCGGGCATACGTGTACTTGGCATGTTGGCTCAGGAAGACGCCAACCTGAGCCTTCCTGTGACCCCATGCACTCTTTATCAAAACCAAGAAGGTGCCTCCTCCAAGGATGAGTCCCCTGGCTCTAGGTTGCAGAGGCTGAAGTGGGCTGCAGCCAGGGCCACAGCTGCCCTCATGCCGGGGGGGACCCTCCCCCACCTCCCCATCTTTCCACTCCAAGCAAGGTCCCTAGAGCTGGTGCAGTCCAAGAGCCTCATTTAAAACCAGAGGAGCCGACGTCTGGACCTGAGTGGCAAGATTATGCTCTGGCCACCCATGACAAGGGTGAAGCTGCAGCAGTCGGGCCACCCTTGAAGTTGTCGCTCTGCCTCTCTGGCTGAGAGCTCAGGGTGCCTGGCCGCCCAGCCCCTCTGGCTCCCGGGATGTGTGCAGGGGTCCGTACCTGTGGAGGTGGGTGCTGGAGATCCCCAGGGTTGTGGGGCTGGTCATGGCTCTGGCTCCAGGCAAGGAAGCCTTATATGAACCCCATTCCCAATCAGATTGGCCCGGTTGTCCTGATCACCTGATATCAAAACTGGACCAGTCAACAGTTAGAAGGATCAACCGTTGGCCTTGGGCCACCGTCTCGCAGCTCCACCTACTATCCAGGGCCAGAAACAGCTTTCTGGGGAGGGGACAGAGGGGTGCTACGTCCCAGGGGTTGGATCCAGGCTGGGGGCGCCTACTTCTCTCCAGGGCAGGGCAGGGTGGCGGGAGACAGTCAGGCCTCTGGGCTGCCAGGACCTCCTCGTCTCCCACTGTACTCGTGGGGAAGGCCCTGTCCTGTTGCTCAGACCAGGCAGTCTGGCCAGCCGGGCTCTCGGCTCTGCTCCAGAAGGATGCCCTCGCTGTGAGTGCTTGTGTCCCCAGATCCCAGTGCTGGAATCTGGTCATGATGCACAGGGTGAGAATCTAAACCCACTGTGATGCCGAAAGGGAGGGGGGCTTTGGGCCAAAGGTAGCGTGATAGTTAAGGCACTGGATCCCACATGGCCGACTCTGCACTTTGAGCCCTGGACCCAGAGGTTTGAAAAACATGCTGGGGGGACCAGCAGATGGCGTAATGGTTACATTGCTGAACTCTCACATAGTCGACCATGGTTTGAGTCCCAGAACCAGTGGCTTAAAATTCACACAGGGTGCATGTGCGTGCATGTCCAAAATCCCAAGAAGAGACCAGAGGAGAAGGGATTGTGGTGTGGCCACCTTCCCTGAGGGTGATTTCTCACTTCCGGTCTGTCTCTCTGGAGAGTACATGTGCCCTATAGCAAAACTCTCTTAACAACAAAAAAAGGAAAGAAAACATGCTCTGCGTGTGTGCGTGTGTGTGTGTGTCCAAAAGCCCGAGAGGAAAGTGGAGAAGGCAGCACTGCAGTGTGGCCATCCCCTGTGGAGGGAGACTTCTCACTTCTCCTCTCTCTGTGTCTGTCTCTGGTGAGTGCACGGCACTATGGCAAAACTCTAAAAAGGGGGAAAAAAAAGAAAAGAGGGACCAGCAGATGGCCTAATGGTTACGTCGCTGGACTCCCACGTAGTCGACCGTGGTTCAAGTCCTGGACTCAGTGGCATAAAACTCAGGCCGGGCGGATGCATGGCCAGATGTGCTGAGCAGAGGAGGGTGGCTTTATAGACAGAAAAGGGTTGAGGAAAACAGGAACGAAGTTGATTGGTCATTTCAAGGTTCTTCTCCTTGCGGAGGTTAAAGCAGGAGAGCCCTCCTCATCGTGGTGGCTAAAACGCGTCTGGGGATTTGCTGTGATCGCGCTCCTGATGCCTTGGGAGGCTGGCCGTGGTGGCATGGGGCCGCGTGAGTGACGCCATCTCGCTTTGGCCTGGTAGGCACGAGGCGGCCCAGGCCTAGGCCCAGCCAATGTGGACACATTTTGAACTATAAATGTTTCTCAGCGCTCTCTCTAGCACTCTCTCCAGAGTCTCTTTTTCTCCCCTCATTTTGCCAGAGTGCGTATGTTCACTGGAGAGGGAGGAAAGTGAGGGAAGGTGAGGAAGCACCCTCCACAGGGGAGGTCGAGCTGTAACCCCATCTCCAGTTCTCCCTCCTTTCAGGATTTGGGGTACGCACACGTGCCTGGCGTGTTTCTCGAGCTGCCGGGTCTGGGACTCAAACTTCATGGTTGGTCTGCTGTGTCCAACCGTCTAAATGCTGGGCTACCGGCTGGCTCTCCCCAGAGTCCCTTTAACTCCCACCACTGTTCCCCACGCCCACCGTCTAAAGCCTCCTGTAGGCTCCTGACCTCCTGACTCAGCAGAGGCCCTGTTTGGGGTGTGGCTCTTCCATGGCATAGGGGTTCCCTGTGGGTTGCTTTGTCTTCCTGTCTCCCTGTCACGCAGCCCTCGGCGGTGCTGACTGACAGCCCTGGGCTGCACGACTCAGCCCGCCAGCCCAGAGCCTCTGCCCTTCCCGCTGCCCGCTGCCCCCCTGCCCTGCGTTCCCAGTATCGATCCAGGGAATCCTAGCCAAAGAGCTTCTCACGCAAAGGCAGGCAAACTTTGACCCGGGATTGGGTGTTCTGCCCAGGCCAAGGTTCTCTGACCTCCGACCTGTCCTCCTCCTCCTCTGCCAAGGCCCAGTGAGGACCCCCTTCCCGTCACTGTGAGCTGTGAGCTGAGACGGGCCTTGGCAATGAGAAGTGCACTGCTCACTCTTTGCCCCTTTTATTGGCCTTGCTCGAAGTTTGGGCCAGGAGGTAATTCATGAGGGGGAGCGCTGGCCGAACCTGACCTCTAGGCTCTGCTTTGATTCCCCACATGGCCTTTGGCCTTTCCCTTTCTGGCATCAGCCTCTCCGGCTGAGAGGTGGGACAGAACTGGCTACTGAATTTCCATGGGGGCCGAGAGCTGCTAAGTACGGGAGCAGAGTCATACACCTTCTACCAGGACGAGGGGCTTCCTGGTCAGTCACCCAGCCCTGGAGACCAGGCTGCCTGGCTGTCTGGAGCTAGGACACTGGTGGGGGCTCTGGTTGCCAAGGCAGAGGCCGAGCTGCAGAGCAGGATGGGGGATCTGGGAGTGCCCTGTGCCCCTGCCTGGCCACAGGCTCCTTCTACACCCCGTGCTCCTTGGCTCCTCAGGCCGAGCCAGACAAGCAGGGCGGAAAGATCAGGATGCCCAGAAAGCCCCAGCAACACTGCGTCTCCTGCCCGGTCTGTGGCCTAAACGCACTTGGGGTCTGGTGCTGCCCTGGCCCGGTGCTGCAGCTCTAGTATGGCCAGGTCTGGCCCGTCACCATCTGGTAACGAGTGGTTGGGACATGGCTTACCCAGCGGTTCCCTGCAGGCAGGATTTCTGTTAGGGCATAAAGAACTGGCCGGCTGGGTCAGGGTCACAGTGCCCTTGGATGACCATGGAGAGGTGCCGGGGAGAGAGACTGGAGGAAATCTAACCTGCTGTGGAAGGCATCAAGGAAGGCATCCTGGAGGAGGTAACACTTTATCAGAGACTCCACGTGAGGAACATCAGAAGTAGAGGAGCCGGCAGAAGGTGTGGTGGTTGAGGTGCTGGACTCCCACGCGGCTGACCACGGTTCAGGTCCTGGACCTGGTGTCTTGCTTTCTCACTGTCCCTTTCTATCTGTCTCTCTCTGGTCAAAAATGAAGAATAATGATAATAAATAAAATGAACAATAAGTAAATCTTTAAAAAAAAAAAAAAGTAGAGGCGATTAAACAAGCAAGTTTGAGGCAGGCCGGCTGGATAGGGTCTGCTTGATTTGCATTTCTGTCTCCCGAAGGTGTCTGAGCAAAGAGGTGAAGGAATGAGACTACAGCCTTGTAAGGGCCACTCCAGGTGCCCGGGGGCAGAGCAGACCCTGCGGGACAGAGGCAAGCGGAAAGCCCGTTTGAGACTGTGTACTCTAGGGAACAATGACTCTAGGCCTGGAAGACGGTGGCAGTGGGGCGGGAGGATGTCAGAGTGGAGAGACCTGGCCCTTTCCCTCCGTCCTCAGCAGCCAGGCGACTGCTCCTCGTCTCCAGGGATGGCCCCGTCTCTGCAAGAAAATGCTGTTTCTCAATGCCGGCTTGCTCCCTGCTCCTGGGGCATCCCATCACCTCCGGCACTCAGTACCAGGACAACTCACGTGACACCAGCAATTCTCCAGAGCCTACACTGCTCCTTCCCCTGCCCTCGAGTGGGGGGGGGGGCCGCGTTGAACCTGCACCCTCTGCCAGGTGCAAGCTCCTCCAGACTCCTGTGGGCCCGGACTCTTCAATCCACACCCCCTCTGTGCTGCAGGGTACTTCTCCCGAGAGGCCTTCTCTGTGCCCTGCTTTGAATCGTAATCTGCCCCTCTTCATCCCCTCCCCTTCTCTGCTTTATCTGTGACACTTTTAAAAAAAATAATAAAATAACTACTTTAACATTATTTATTTAAAATAGAAAGGGACACACACACACACACACACACACACATAGACAGAGAGAGA